CCGAGTATCTGACCGTTAGCTCTGCAAGCATACTCATTCTCGAGTCTGATTTATTCACTCAAGTCAAGCAGGTGTTTGTTGAGCACCCACCTCACGCCAGACACTGTTTCAGCATGTGACATACAGCTGCGAGCACACCAGACAGGTCACTCCCCTCAGGGAGCTGATGCTAGAGCCAAGTAGACAGGATGCAAATTACATAAAAAGATGCATGTGCTCTATACTGAGAAGAACAGCAGGCCAGAGACATAAAGTAAGAGGGTGTTGCTGAGGAAGTGGGCTCTTGTACAGTTTCCTGGGGAAAGAATTTCAGGGACCCTCACGGAGGAGTTTAGCCATAGTGGCGAGATTTATTAGAACGAAAAGGGACGGTGGCAGAACACTTTCTGGGAGGCAGAGAGAGTGGGCAGGCTGTAGGGTAGCAGCTGCCCCCAGGTCCTCGCGAAGCCTCCATGCATTTCCTTGCGTTTGCAAAACAGTGGACTTTCTTACAAACTCCCCAGTCTCCTTCCCGGCTTGTCGGCTTGTCGGGGCCTGTGCTGGTGGTCTCCCCCACCCGGTCTCTTTCCTGGATTTCCTGGGGACTGGTGTCCTTCTCCACTCCACCCCGGCTTGTCGGCTTGTCGGGGCCTGTGCTGGTGGTCTCCCCCACCCGGTCTCTTTCCTGGATTTCCTGGGGACTGGTGTCCTTCTCCACTCCACCCCTCCCAGACTTTCCCGGGCGAGTGCCCTGCTCCTTCATGGTCGCCATTTGGTTTCTCCTGTGCACATGCTTTTTATAAGGAATTTCCCTCCCTCTTTCCCCCTCCCCCATTCATCCAGCAGAAAGATGCCATTTACCTGCCATCACCCCCACCCCCCAATGGCTGTAAAGCTGTCTGCCCTGCCTAGTTGACTAGAGAGAATGTTGTCCTGAAAGGTGCTGGTTACTCGCCAGGGTGACTGTGAAACTGCTGCTTCCCGACTTTATCAGACTTTGTTTGCTCTCTTCTCTTTCCTTAATCACTAACTGTCGACTCTGACTGGAGTGAGAGCGCCAGTTTTGGACACAGTAACCAGGGAAGGTCTCACTGAGAGTGACACTGTGTAAACACCTGCAGGAGGTGAGGGGGTGCATCGTGCGCCCATCTGGGCAAGTGTTCAGGCAGAGAGGACAGCGTGTGCAAAGGCCCTGAGGCAGGAGCGTGCTGCACAGCCAAGGTCACCGAAGAAGAGGAGGAGGCCAAGGAGGCCAAAAGGAAATGGGGGTGCCTTGCTTTAGGTTGTTGAAGGACTTTGACTTGGTGTGAAATGGGGCATTGGAGGACATCCATTCCACCTTTCCACAGCCCGCTCTAGCTGATATGCTGTGAATAGACCACCAGGGGCCCAGGGCAGACAGCAGCCAGGGGGCTGTTGTGAACTGTGCCTGAAAGACACACGCTGGAGGCCACCACTTCTCCTGAGAGTCTGGCTTCAGCAAGGATAAAATGAAGACTGATTTTTTAAACCTATGTTGAACTTTGTTAACTCATTTGTGTTCATGAAGCCCTGTGCCATGGATGTGGCCAGCACAGGCCTTCACATAAGCACAGCCCACTGCTGTTCTGTCCCCGCGACGCTGCTGCTCCCCCGGCCCCTCTGCAGGGACATTGCTCTCGGGTTTCCTCCCTGGGCTGACGGTTCTCCTGAGACCCAGCTTGTTTTCCTCTCTTACACATTATTCATCTTACTGGTCCCCCTGCTTGCTTTTGGTGGCGAACAGTTTACCTCCAGCAAGAGTACAGGGCCATGTGGCTGCTGCATCCATGTCTTCTGACCCTTATTTTCATATACCTCATCGAAAAGGAAAGCTTTTATTCTCTTTTACTTTAGTGAGTCCCTCTACAGAGTGGCAAACTACAAACAAACAATATAGGATGCAAATGCATCACTTAACGATAAGAAGGGAGAAACCCAGTCTGAAGTTTAGGTCATCTGTATTCTAGTTTTGTTTCCATGAGTGGAAAAATATATACGCATGCACACACGGGATTTTCAGAATGAAACCGTCAGTGGCTAAGGCATGACTCAAGAGCCTTGTGTCCTTGACTGGTCTCAGTGCTGCCAGTCTATCCCTACGCAGTGTTTCTAAATTTATTATTTTATCTCCCAGCAGCACGCGTTGGTGGTGCTGTAGTGAGGTCAGTCATTAGGACCAACAGGACAATTTGATAAAAATACACTTTCCAGCCCCTGCGACTCATTCTGACTAAGGAAGGATTGAAAACTTCTTTGAAAATACTTTCGCACAAACAATATATTTTCTGAGACCTCGGGTATTTGAAAATATCTTTTTGTTGCCTTTACTGTTGAACAACTTTGTTGGGTGTACCAATCTGGGCCTAAAATTCTGGGTGCTGCCTGAGTGTCATTTAAAGCTGACAGTGCACAATATGATTTGAGTTGCATTACTGGTAACCCTCTCCCCACCCGGACACTTTATTTTAATGCTTGATATGTACAGGAAACAAAGTCATACTTCACAGCATTGGTTTCTAAGAGCCTGCCACCCATTTTTCTCTTTGAGTCATTTTTTTTTTTCATATCTAGAAAGTTCGTTCCTATGATGTCCTGGCCGAACCGATGATCTCGCCTGTACTTCCCTCAGGAACACATTTTATTCCCAGGCTGGGTCTCTGTGGTCTTCTCTCCATTGATCTTTTCTTAAGCGTCATGTTGTCCCTCCCTGGCCCCATTGTCCCTGCTTCTGGGATGACGTCTCGGTTTTGTCTTCGCGTCAAGCTCAGTTCTCAGCAGTTACGCCAGCCTCTTATCGGTGTGGCTTGGCCTCTGCTTCGGACTCCTGAGTCTTTTCATTTCATCAGCACCCTTCTCATCTCTGCACTTTTTTGTTAAAAAAAACAACCAACACCCACTATAAACATCATTTAAAATAGAAGGCGATTTTTTCTGAAAAATCATTTGTTCGCGAAGGTGAATCCTAGTCAGATGAGAAGTTTTCCCCTTGAGCCTTTGTCCTTTCTTCCCTTTTGTGCAGTAGAAACCCCTCCACGCCCTGGGCTTTCAATGAGCTTTTCCTGGGCACCTTATGCCTGAACAAGGTGGGCCCAGTGGGGAGCTGTTTAGGGGGAACATCTGGTCTGTCCGCTTTCTTTGATTCGTCCTGGGAGTCTAGCGACTCACTACCGCTTCTTCCCGTCACTGCATTAGATGCCCCCTTACTGCCTCACATAGGGGGCAGAAAACGTCTCCCACTGCCAACAAGTTAGCTCGCTTGGCGTTCAGCAGCACACAGCGCTTCAAGGCACTGAATGAAATGCTTTAGGGGAATCTGCAAAAGAAAACCCCCTTAGGAGAGGACGTGACCTTGAACAGTGTCTCAAACCCTTGGCCATCGGTAAGCCAGTTCTTGCATGTAGGCCAAGCATTAAAACCCACCAGGGACTCAGAAAGTTTCTGACTCACAGATCTGCTCTCAGTGGAAATATATATTTACCCCTGGCCAGCAAAACACAACAGTAATTTGAATTTTCTTTCATCCTCGGTTGTCTTTCTTTCCCCTGTTTCCTCTCTCTTCTGCCACCTGGAAACACTGGCTCGTTCTCCATCCACAAAAGGGTGCTGATTTAGAAAGGAGGGACGTTTATCTTGACACTTGGTAGGAGCGGAATTATAGACTTTTGAATCCTGAAGTTATGGGGCATGCGAGCTTAGAAGACAGACAACGCAGTGGGCAGTACTCTTCATTGTGTCAGGATGGAGACTTTAGAAATCCATCAAAGACAACAGGTTATCAGATTTGTTCCTAATCTGCTCTTAGCATAAGGGTTACGAGGGTGACGCTGAACTATTCCCAGTCATTTTCAGAGACAAAATCCTCCCCGGCAACGAGGTAACTTTGAAACACTTCCTCAGGTGGACACGCGAGAGACCTCCTTAAACGGCTCTCCCACCGGATCTTCCTTCACAGTGGCTCCAAACAGCTTCCTTTAACGACTCCGATCAGCAGCTGAGATGAAACCAGTGAAGAATCGGGATGAAGGGCTATGTCCAAAGTGCGGGCAGTTGAATCTCCTGCCAGGACTTCATCTCCCTTCGCCCCTGACAGTTGTAAATCACACGGTGCGAACATCACCACCCGCTGAAAATAACGCGTCTCTATTTCATTTCTCTTCCCAGGTTTGAGATTTTTACGAGCTCTCAGACTGATCCAGTTTTCAGAAATTTTGCAGTTTCTGAATATCCTTAAGACAAGGTAAGATGCTCTTTCCTCATTCCAGTCTCCAAAGGGGAATTGTAAATATTAGGTGTGTTTCGCTTTCATCACGATAACCTTAAAGTTCCATTATTCACAGTAAGAGTGATGCGCCCCACAGATCCGGAGAAAACCCAGAGTAGGGCTTGGGGTGCTCTCTTCAGCAGGGCTAGGGCCTCCATGGTAAAGAGAGGAACAGCTGTGCCTGTGTCCCCAGTTTTGGGACTTCGCGGGTGGCTTGGAAATCAGGAAATGAGCCTAGCGTCACGGGGCGAGGGGGCAGCAGGTGAGGGATACATCTGCTCATTGATTCGGAAGTCCTCGCTCCCAGTTCTAAATCACCCCTTTATTACATCACTACACAAGAAATTGAACCTGGCCGTAAAAGCAATAGAAGCAATGCTTTTCGAGAGGCAATCACAAACCTCATATGGCAAACAGAAAATCATTTCATTTCAAAGTACATTTCAGATGTTCATTTTATAGCCAGCGTAGCCCCTGGGGCTGGTGCTGTGAATGGCCTTTTGGGGAATACCTGAACACTTCCTGCAAATGCACTGCGGCTGCCCCCGCTATGATCTGGAAAACTCCACTGGACCAGGAGGAAAGTCCTCCGAGGTCCCTTTCCCGATGACCTGCGGGTTCCCAGGGCTGGCCTGAACCCAGGGCTGTCTTGATGAATAAACGAATAAAAGAAGTTAGACGTACTCTAATGGAGAGTAAGTGCAGGCCATAAATTTCTCTTAGAGGAAATTACACTTTAAGAAGCTCACCGCTAATGTTCCATTTCCTCTTAACGTGTTTGATGAACGATTAGACACAGGGCCCCTCTGTGATGTGTGATGAACACACCTGCGTTTGAGGGGCCTCGGATTTGGCACCGTTTTCTGGGTTTCAACTTCCCCTGTCTGTCACATCCAACAAATGTGCCAGGCTACTGGCTTTCTTCTTTGGGTCTTGGTGGGTTTTGTTTGTTTATTTTGATTTAAGTCCACACTGATTTCTCCTCCCTCCATATTCATCTGTGGGAATGCGAAGTCAATCCATTTTCTATCAGCCAAACCAGAGCGAGCATCTAATCTAATGCCTTAGAAGTCTCCCATAGTGTGTCCCACCATCCTGCAAGTCATACTCCACACTCCACTCTCTAGTGGATAGTATGTAATATTACTGACTTAGAGTGAATATTGCCAATCTTCAATACTAGTAGTCCAGTGCATGAAATTCGTGCACATTAAAAGGGAATTAATTGCCCTAACCAGTTTGGCTCAGTGGATAGAGCATCGGCCTGCAGACTCAAGGTTCCAGTGAAGGGCATATACCTTGGTTGCGGGCACATCCCCAGTAGGGAGTGTGCAGGAGGCAGCTGATCTATGTTTCTCTCTCATCAATGTTTTTAACTCTCTATCCTTCTCCCTTCCTCTCTGTAAAAAATCAATAAAATATATTTTTTTTTAAAAA